CATTAAGCACATACTTCCTTATCTCCTCTGCTGTTTTAGTCTTCATTCTGATGTAGTTTATTTCTTTTTCTTTAATTCTTCTTCACTTTTATAGTCTCCTCTTTTCCATTTTTTCTGTGTCTTCAGAACTCTTCTCAGTCCTATTACACATCTTCCCTAGGTATATAATCCTCCATATTTCATGTGTTTTAATCATCCATTTATATCTTCTTCCTTCTTTGTTGAACTTTGATATTATAAATACATAACCTACTGTATCTATTATTATTTCAATTGCAAATATGATTTTCTCGTGTTGAAGGCTACCTTTATTATTTATGTCTAGATCATAATTACCACATTATTTAAATCTTTAGCCAACTTTTGATAGAGGCAGCATTTTGAATGTCTCCCTCCCTCCTTCGTTTTTCTAAGTATGTCTTAGCGGTGGAAGTTACAAAACATGTTAAACCCAATTCCTCCTCTCGATGTACATGCATATAAAACTAACTATAATGTAATATTATGTGATAAGTGATGCTTTGGGACATGAATAATGTGCTATGAATAGGAACAAAAATGAGGAGAATACGAATCTGCTTAGAGTGTGAAGAGGTGGTAGGGAAGGGAGTCAAACTTTATAGCATGTGTTTACTTTGAGTTGTGTATTGTACTTCTCTTCCAGAGAGAAAGAGCAGTTGATAGAGATTGTGGAAGGTGAGTTGATGAAGAAGAGCCAGTATATTTAAATGCATGGAGGCATATGTAGTGTGTGTCATTGTCACATAATAAACAGATGTAGCTGGATCATGGGGTGCAAGAAAGGAAGTAGGAAACAGGAAGATGGAAAGAACCAGACTCCAATGGGCTTTGAGTGCTCTGTTAGCAGGTTACTTTTCATCTGGGGGCAAAAATGATTCATAAAACCATTAACACAAGGATTGTGACTGTTTTGAGAGTGAATGAACTTTTTGGAACAGTGAAAACACTTGAAGAACAGGATCTTGATGAGGCTTTGTAGTGGATCTAGTGGAAACTGATGAAAGTAGGGGCAGTGAGAAGAGGAAGAAGCAGATACATGACAGATGCATGAAATTAAAAAAGAAATTGTGACATATTTCAACCATTTAAAATGTACCCAAAACTGTATGACTGGCACTATGTGTTTAAGTTCAAGATATAATAATGAACATATGTTATTTTTTATCAGATTTTTTTTTGGTAGTAAATCACTATTAATACAATTGAAATCACTCACCATCTCAGACTCCTCTTTCCCTTGCCAGAGAAAATCACTATTCTGAAGTTATTGGATATCTTTCTGGTTCAAGCTTTTATAGTTCTAGCATGTATATATATATTTATATTTATAATATATTAGTATTTATATCTAATAATTATTTGTATTATACTTAAATTAGTAATTTAATTATTTTAATAATTATATTTGATAATATTTATTATTTATTGTGTTTGAAATTTACAAAAATTATATCACTTTACATGTATTATTTTATAATTTGATGTTTTCCCTTCAACATTATATTTTTGAGATTTTTCCATGATGGCAAATACAAATCTGGAGCATATGAATTTTGCCTTTTGATAGATCTTCCTTATTGTGACACCATCTGTTAATGGATCTGGTTTGCAAGATCAGAGCTTTACATTGCAGATTTTCTTAAACCAGGACCGACTGCTGGGCCTTGTCTGATGGTGGTGGTGAAGTCAATGGGACACCTTTCAGGCTCCATCCTTCTTGGGGCAGTTTCTGACATAGGATGAATGATGAGGATGAATTATCCTGTAGGATAGCCATGCCATCAAGATTCACCACCTCACTTAATCACAACAGACCCATGGTGCTTGTTGTGTTTCATGATCTTATGCTGCCAACAAGGGAACTGAGGCTCATAGAGGTTATAATACTTGCCCCAAGACAGACATACAGCAATGTCAGACCTGAGATCAAACTGGGAGGTCTGGCTTCAAAACACAGAGTATGAATTTTCAGTTTACTTTTCAAGTAACTCATTTCATTGTATTATATTATAATTTATTTATATACAACCTCATTGTGGACTTACAGGTTATTTCCACTACCAAAGTTGCTAAAGAAGAAGAATTAACTGAATTTGTTGGCATATATTATCTCACATTCTCAGTTTTGCAAGACATTAATTTTCTCCATTTTACAGACGTGAAAGGTGTCAGACGTGAAATGTATGTTACCCAAGATCACTAAATTGTTAGGTGATAGAATGTGAAATATGGTTTTTCAGATACTGAACCTTATACTCATTTCATTATCCCATTATTCTTCTTTAAAAACAATAGGAGTAATTGCTATAAGGTGTTATAAGAGCTAAAATAGAGATAAGTTCAAAGAATGGTGTAATCATACATAGTCTATCCTTTACATGAAGTCCCAGATGGAGTCTAGAGTCCCTGCATCCACACTGAGATTGAAGATCAACCTCAATATACTTTAACCCAAATGGGTCACTCAAGCTTTCTACTGAGGGCCTATTATGTACTCTAGCTTTCTTCTAGGCACTGTGGAGCTTATAAAGAAATATGATAGATAGAATAGCCTTATAATCCATTTGGGGAGTTAAAATGAAACACTAGACACAGAAAACTACTTAGGTTGGTGGAGTCAAGAGTGATTTCATGAAGGGGTAGAACTTGAATACAAACAACATAATATAGGCTTCTCAGTGGTTATCTCATGCTGGCCCTCTTCAGGGGTCTCAGTCCCCTCTAGAGAAAGAAATGTTGAGTGGAACAGATCACAGTGGCATTTTATAACATGAGTCCATCCAAAATACTTCTGTTCCAAATAAAAATATTTACTCAAACAATTAGAATAGGAGCAAATATTTTAGCAAACTTCCAAGTTTCTCAGGACACTGAGGTACATTAATTAGTTGATAAATAGTTGTCAGTGATGATTAATCATGGAGGCCAAGACAGCAGCTGCCAGTATGTCAATAAATGGTAGTCATTAGCTGTAAGAGGGGCTTGTCTTTCCCCCAACGATTTCTATAATCACTCTGCCTCATGTTTTTGCTCAGGTTGTATCCTCAGGATGTCAAAGATAAGTGGAAGGAAGCAGAGAATTGGAGAGAGGACTGATCTCGGAATCAATGGGCTTCAGCTTTAGTAAAAGCATTAACACTAAGAAAATTTATGGTTTTGGTTAAGTTATTTAACACATTTGGGTATTTATTTCCTGATCTATAATGACTAGAGAGTTTCCTAAATTAGCGATTTTGAGTTTATCATAGGTCCCAAAGTTGACCCTAATGATTTCAGTCTCCTTGACTAGATTGAAGATTTCTTTTTAGCCCTATTCCTAGTTTTAGTTATCCTTCGGACAAATTTTTCCCTTTCCTGAATTCCCCTGATTCTTGACCTTTCCTTCCTTGCTTCTATTGTCAGTCTCTGACTCAAGAAAATACATTTTATTCACCCTATCAGCAAATATTTACTTGTCTCTGTTATGTATGTAGAGTAATTCTAAAATTTTGACACACTGGATTGAACAACACAGATGTGCTCCATGCTGTATGGGGCTTGCAGCCTAATCGGGAAGGAAAAATTAAACAAATAAAATACACTTGTGTTACGTACTAAGTAATACAGTGTTCTTTGAGAGCAAATCAATTGAACTTATACAAGATAGTTTAATTTCTTCCACTAAGAAAATGTCAATATTATATTACTCATAATTTTTTATTCAAATATATTTCTAATAGAATGTTTGATGCTTCTTGTTAATTAACAGTATTTTATTTTCTTATTCATTCACTCATTATGTCTCACATATTGAGTGTTGTTATGGGCAAGTGAAATAAAGAGAAGTAAACTTAACATTTACTGAAAATTTAATATAGCCATACGATTAAGATACATTATTTTACTAATTAAAACTTCATAAGTAAATTAACTGAGACTCAAAGAGTTTAAGTAACTTGGCAAGATCAACCTGTCACTATGAGTCACAGTAATCTAAATCCAAAACCCATTTCTTCTTACTAAGCTATGTTGTTTCTCTAAATAAGAGTAAAGAATTACAGGGTAATGTGATGCGTCCTTATAGAGACATTTGTGTGAAATGGTTTCCACTACGTTATGATACATTTCATATTTTAAGCTTTTCAGATCATGTGCTAGGTATTTTAAGACAGTCTTTCTCAAATTAATTTTGTTAAAGTATAAATTAATTTCCAGTGTTTTATGGACTAACACATTTGTAAAGAACAAAATCAGAAACTTGCATATCACTGTAATGTCAAATCGCTAGAGAAGTTTCTAAACACTCTCAATTTCTGATTTAATATTATACAAATGGTTACAGACAGTTCATGGACCTGCATCTCTCTGTGGATCACTTTTTCACTGCTTCAGGAAGTCCAAATATGAATAAGCCACAATCCCTGCCTTGAAGAAGCTTACAGTCTCCTTGGTGAGTTAGAACTGTAGTCCGTTCTCTATAATGCAAGGGATACTAAAATAAATGCTAGAAATAATAAAGCAAGAGTTAATAGAAGCGGTAAATATTTAATTAATATTGAAGATTAATGTTCTGAGAGGTGAAGACTGAGAGAGAAGAGAAAAACTATTTATCTGTTGGATGAAGATTTGTAGGTTTGGAACGTATTGCAATAGTGATTAGCTCTATGTGATTGGGGCCAGATACCAGTTTTAATTCAAAATCAAAGGTTTGGAATTGAATTCCCTTTATGCATGTTGAGCATTTTGGATCTCTTTAACACTATCATGGCATCAACCCTATGAGGAAGCAGAGGATACTAAATGCCAAGAAAACTTGGTGGTAGAGAATAGATACAGATGACAGCCACCGATTTCTCTGTGATCACATTCAAGGCTATGAGCATATTAAGAGAGGTTTAGTGCTAAAGTAGAAATAGGCTTTCATAATTTTGACTTCACTCCCAGTTTATTAACATAATTTTCATAATTTGCATTTTCAGGTAGCAGTACTGACAGAACTAATGGATGGAGCAAATTACTCTGTGGTGTCCGAATTTGTGTTACTGGGACTCGCCAATTCTTGGGAGATCCAACTTCTCCTCTTTGTGTTCTCCTCCACTTTTTATGTGGCAAGCATCATGGGAAACTCCCTCATTATGCTCACTGTGACTTCTGACCCTCACTTACACTCCCCGATGTACTTTCTTTTGGCCAACCTCTCTTTCATTGACCTGGGAGGTTCTTCTGTCACTTCTCCCAAGATGATTTATGACCTTTTCAGGAAGCGTAAAGTCATCTCCTTTAGTGGCTGCATCACTCAAATGTTCTTCATCCATGTCATTGGTGGTGTAGAGATGGTGCTGCTCATAGTTATGGCATTTGACAGATATGTTGCTATATGTAAGCCACTCCGCTATCTAACCATCATGAGCCCCAAAACGTGCATTTTCCTTTTAGTGGTTGCCTGGATGACTGGCCTTATCCACTCCATGGTTCAATTGGCTTTTGTGGTAAACTTAACTTTCTGGGGTTCTAATGTGTTGGACAGCTTTTACTGTGACCTTCCTCAATTCATCAAACTTGCTTGCACAGACACCTATGGACTAGAGTTCATGGTCACAGCCAATAGTGGGTTCATCTCTGTTGGGTCCTTCTTCATACTGATCATATCTTATGTTGTCATCATTCTCACTGTTCGGAAACACTATTCAGCTAGTTCATTGAAGGCTCTGTCCACACTCTCAGCTCACATCACTGTGGTAGTGCTGTTTTTTGGTCCTTTGATATTTTTCTATACATGGCCGTCTCCCTCTACACACCTGGATAAGTTTCTGGCCATTTTTGATGCAGTTCTCACTCCTTTCCTGAATCCTATCATTTACACATTCAAGAACCAAGAAATGAAGATGGCAATGAGGAGATTATGCAGACAGCTAGTGAATTATATGAAGATCTCTTAAGAGATAGCTTTATTGTGAAGAGCCTTCATTGGTTATTGATGTTCAAACTCAGAGAGAAGCTCTTGTTTGTCACCTTGATTTGATTATATACACTGATACTGAGTTGATTTGACTTTCACTGGGGAGAAAGGGACATTCACTACTGAAAAGAGAGAATTTACATTTAAAATCAAAGATTATAATAATCTTGCACCTCAATTCCTAAGGAATAATATCTATAAGTAATTTTTAGAAATATGTAAGAAAGCAAGCTGTTTTAAGGCAATCAGAAGAGAGAGAAGTATTTCCCAATTCACCCTACTCAGTATGACTTCGTCTTGACTACATCTGGAAACACTCTATTTCCAAAGATAGTCACATTCACAGGTACTGTGGGTGAGGATTTCAACTTATCTATTCTGTGGACACAAATAAGCCCACAACAGTAGTGAATGTAGAATATGTATCTGAGAAAAAGAGTGGCTGTTGAATAGTTACCTATTAACTCGAGTGAAAATATATTTAAAATAAACAATATAAGGAACTTTAACTCTATCATGGTCAATGAACTATATGTTTAAAATAACAGAGCAAATAAAGTCAGTATAAGGCACAAAAAATTATTCTCATGAGCTAGAGAATCTCTGCTAAGTAGAAAGATTATCGGAAGTAAAGAATAGCATTTAGTTGAGAGCAGAATGAATATCCCAGGATAAATTTGTAATGTTATTCTAACAGAGAGAGAACCAAATTCTAGTCTTGTTTAAATACAGTATTTGGTGATAAAGCATCCCTAAGTTTTCAAAAATAAACCCATCAAAGCTGAGCTATACAAACTTTGTTAAAATATTAAACTATATCATTGTTTCTTTTCAGATTCATTATTTGATGGTATATATACAACTATAACAGAGTAAATAAAATTTATTTCTTGAATCGTCTGCAGTTTTTCATCTCCACCAGCTTTTATCTTCTACTATTTCAGATGGTGAAATAACTAGACATTTTATCTTAGAAGAAAACTAGCCTCTTTTCCTATTGTAAAAAACAACAGCAAAAAGCAAATCATAACACCTTGCATAGTCAATCATATTTTTTTACTATAATTACTTTTAGCACAGTCATAATCACCATTTTATGACTTTAGCCAAAGTAATTAACTTTTATTTCATAAGCAGTACTCTTTTAAAAGAGTCTGACAGTAGTTTAAGTGGTAAAAACTGATTTTAATCAGGAACCATTGCAATGGGGGAAAAAGACCTCAGTATAGAAGGGGATTCAATTCCCAATACAATTAGAACAAGTGGGAATTTATAGCCAAAGAGCAGATGGGAGGTAGGGGTTGGTGGATGGAAATTACTAAGAGAAGCATTAAGGGTAGGGAGAATTATTCTAAACTGACATAACAGGAGTTTTGCTGAAGGCAGCCATGGTGACCACATGTCAAGAGTAGGGGTTTAGGAATTTTATCAGATATCAAAGGTGAGAGTTTCTCTCTAAACTGACTTAGCAGCATTGTTGCTAAAACTAGACGATGCAAGCCCAGCAAGGCTGGGCCCCAGGTTGAACCCTGGTGGAGAAGAGGGCTCAGAGGAGGCTGACTAGCATTTGGTCAAGGAGAGTCTTTGTCAACCTAAAGGTGGGTAATTGAAAATTGTCTAATTGTCTGTCATATATTTATTTCAGCAGACTAACAAATCTCAGGACCACGCAAAATATAACCCCCGATTGGCATAAATATCATATTCACACCTTCTTAAAGGTATCGAACATTATTCTTAAAGTAGTAAAATTGAACACATTTACTAACAAGATCCAAAGATATAGACACTCTCTAAAGGTAAAAGTAAAGCAATACACACATACACCATGACCAATGTTTCAATGCTCAATTTTATTTAAAAATTATCTAATGAATATCCACTAATTCCTTTATTAACAATAAACCAAATCTTAAAGCAACTAAGGATCTTAAAAGTTATCTTTCAGTGGACTCATTATAAAACTGCCAGAATTAGAATTCCAATTGATTGAAAACGTAATTTAACTTTTCCCATAATTTTAAATACTTGCTGTACACTCCATTTTGGTAAGATCAGGAGAAGACTTATAGCCATTTTATTGAAAAAGTTATTAAATCAGTCTGTTGTCCCAGTATTTATTTTGACTATTTGAATTTGGAGCCTTATATAAAAATGCTTTGATGGGACTGGTCCCATTGACAAGTGGTTAAAGTGCCCTGTGCTTGGTTTTGGCAGCCCAGGTTTGCGGATTCAGATACCAGATGCAGACCCACCCCACTCATCAGCGATGCTGTGGCAGTGTTCTATATATAATGTAGTGGAAGATTGGCACAGATGTTAGCTCAGGGCAAATCTTCCTCAGGAAAAAAAAAGTAATAATAATAAAAATGCTCTGACTTGTAATTTCTATGAGAATTTTCTTCTGAAAAAGATGGCATACATAAAGTAGTAAAAATTCAGTTTTCTTTATTTTTTTAGGAATTTGGGGAAGATTGGATTCTAGTTAGCCCTTATTAATCTCCATAAAGCAATCCTAACAGAACTCCTTTAAGAGGCTTTCGATTTAATTTAATATATCCTTGAAGTAGGAAAATATTTCACACTCATACAATGAGAAGAAAATGCTCCTCAATTACAGAAACGCAGTCACACATAAAACTATTAGGTTCAGTTCTAGAGTTTCAGCCACATATCAAGACAGATTTACCAAAAATGAAAAGTATAGACTGATACACAAAATTTCACACTGGATCTCTAACAGAATTTTTCTTATATTTTCAATAGTAACAAGACAAATTCTACTTCCAATGGAAATAAGACAAAAAGATTGAGAAAATGAAACAGATTTTTTAAAAAATCCAATTAACAAATCAAAGTCTTCATCATCTCTCATCTGATCAAGAATAGGTCCCCATCATCCTAAGGGACATTACCAAATGATTGGATCCTGGATCCAAATTCAAAATCTCTGTTGCCACCAATGAGGAAAAATCTATCAGCACTGTGATAACTAGGATTGGAATCAAACTGAACCAAAACCCAGAAACAAACAAATAAACAAAAAAAAGTACCAAAGCACAAAAACAAAACAGAGAGCAGAGTGTCAGTGAAGGTAAAACTTTAGTGCTGCTTGGGATGCATTATGGGAACTGAGAATAGTCATGCCTGGGCTTAAACATTCCATGAGGTGCATTGTTTGGGAAATACAGTTTATTGGCTCCATAAAGTGCATTCACTTGGATGTCTTGATAGGGCCTTCAGATAATTTTCAAAAAGTTAAAAACATAACTCATATAAAATGATCATGTATCAATTACTTATTTAACTCACTAACGAGAAAACCAACAGGGGGGCAAGCTGGTTCCAAGTAAGTTTTGATGAAATCAATTTCTAAGACAGACTGGATCCCCCTGTAAATGTTCCTCAGGACCTCTTGATTTCACCAATTCTATGATTATATGACCTGGCCCAGTGTTTTGTAAATAGGCTGAGGCACAGTGATCATTTCAGATCTTTTTTTTTCTTTGAGGAAGATTAGCCCTGAGCTAAGATCTGTTGCCAATCTTCCTCTTTTTTTTTCCCTCCCCAAAGCCCCAGTACATAGTTGTATATCATAGTTGTAAGTTGTAAGTGGTATGTAGTTCTGCACCCAGGGTGCAAACCAGGGAATACCAGGTAGCCAAAGTAGAGCAGGTGAACTTAAGCACTATACCACCAGAATGTAGATTTATTGACTAAGATGTTGATGAGGTATTCCTGGTTCATAAGGGATAGGTGCCCTAGAATGATGACACTCAGGGCTCCTCTGATATAGTAGTTATACTCCTTAATAGTCATGGATCCACCAACCCAGAAGAAAGGGTAGCACCAATAAGTTATGTCCATTTGGTAATGTAATTCATCCTTTGCTCTAATTTCTATCTCATACAACTAGATATCTGAATGCATTCATTCTCTTTACCAAGTAAATAGTTGTGGTCATGAATTTCCATGTGGTCAAGGGACTATTTAATAGTGTATACTAAAAATGAAACTGTGAATACAGTATTTCCAAGAAACTCCCCTTCTCATTGTATATCCTTTGGAAGGACTTACACAGGTATATAAGAAGAGATGTAAAAATATTTGTTATTACCTTTTAAAAGCAAATTTTTGGAAAAACCCAAATGTCCACTAACGGGAGAGAGTTAACTGTATTGATGGCTTTTCTCTACTTGCCTTTCTGTATCTAATTTTCATCATGTCCACTCTTCTCTGAGCTTTTTTAAATTGAACTTTATGGGACTGAATCAACCAGTGGCTCTTGCCATATGGTTTCTGCCTGGGTATAGCTAATAGAAGCTATTCAGGGATTTGGAAGTCAGGAAGAAATTGAAATCAGGATATGTATTCCCTCAGTTTCCTCACTTTTGAGCTTATATTGGTGATGACTGCACCCAATTCCTCTACCAAAGCCCTCAGCTCTTGTTGGTGGCCGTCTTCTACTGCTACAGCTCTTTCTCTTGTTTATGGTCATGTTCCCTCTCATTGCCCTTCAGCTTTAGGGATAGTAATGAATCCCTATTGTTGCTAGTCTTGGATACTTTACCATTCCTTATTGATTTCCTTTACTACAGCCTTTGTACATTTGATTTGCCTCATTTACTTCATTTGAATGTGACATTTTTTCCCTGATGGGACCCTAACATAAGTTTTTGTACAAAGAGAAGTCTCGAGAAACAGCCCCTCAAAATGGGACTCTGAGAATGGTTAGCTTACATTTTGAGGAATAGCTGTATCTCTTCCTCACCTGGAAGATATTGGACTTTGATCATATGAAGCACACAGTTATACTACAGTTACTCAAATCAGCACTTGGGCTTATATAGAATGAAGTTCAAGTGAAAGGCAAGGCCCTATAATCTACCTACAACTAAATGTCTGTTGCTTGATATCCTAACACTTTATCCTTTTCACTGGTGAAGCAGCACCTCCATTCAAGTTTGAATGAAACAGCCT